ATATAAAAAATTTAGCAATGCCGAAATGTTTGCCGAAAATACGATTTTTCAAAAATAATTTAGGCACCCATGTATACCTGGTTTGTTTATACAAATCCTTCATTAATCAATAATTATATGTACATCATTATTAGCAGTATTAATAAAATCATTATCATAGACAAATTAGATGAAGACGACAATATTGATTTTATCAAAAAGCGTACGATTCGGGAATTGGACTACGTAAACGCTACCAAAATATTTTTAAGATTTAAATCTTGATTCTGGGAAGATATTAAGAAAAGGCCTATTATAGGAGGTTATCTTAAGACCGACCTCCCAATTCGGACCGTGATCTATCCATCTTATTATGATGATGAAATAGATAAGAATAAGCCCGCAATCCTTCTTGGTTCTTATACTTGGGTAAATGATGTAGCAAAATATGCTTCATATAAACAAGAAGAAAATGTTGAATTATGCCTTAAAAATCTTAAAATTCTCCATAAAGAACAAGATTTAAATAGGTTTTGGGAAAAAAATAATCCTAAAAAATCCATTTATAGTAATTTATCTATTTGTTGCCAAAATGAACCAACTGCTGTTAGAGCATATGCAATTTTTGGTCCAAAACAATTTGAAAATCTAATGTATCCAATGCTAGAAAATAACAATAATGGAAGTAAGATACATTGGGCTGGTGAACATATAGATATACATCATGCTTGGATTGTTGGTGCTTTGAATTCAGCTGTTAGAGTTGTTCAGGAGGTTTTGGGTAGTGAATGGGATCAATTTAAAAATAATAATAAGCTATTGAAAAATTGGTATGAAAATGGTAGAGTATACTATTTTAAATTATATATGTGTGATGGTAATTTTTTATATTTATATTAAATAACCTATTTTTAAACTCTTAGATAAAGTTGTATGGTAGGCAGGTTTTTATAATTCTAACAGTAGTAAAATTATTAAAATTGGCTTAGTATTCATTGAAATATGAATATTTAAAGATTTGATACAAAAAATTATATCAGTGATTTTCTACATTATTTTTTTTTTTTGCCATGTATTAAAATTAAAGTATTTTATTTCAAAGTTTGTGTGCTAGTTAAATAAATATCATATTATATGCCTGTAAAATATGATAATGATAAAATTTATGCAATCACATTTTCTGACGAGTAGATCATTCACTATCCGCATTGATATTCATTTTCTGTACTGAACTATTCTATTTAAATACTCTTAATCAAACTTCTTTATTACTTTCTTACTTAATACTTTTGCAATTCTCCAAGTTGAGAATAAAACATGAAAATGTTTTAATTGTATAAAAAATTTCAATGTAAAGTGAATTTTAATAAAAAAAATTATCATCTTGATGTTTTAACTAAGAGATATTTCATATCCTGGACCCAGGAAGGTTGCTGAGTTTTGGACATAACAAAGCATAAATACTCAAATCAATAATATATTACAATTATATTATCAAGATGTTCTAATCTCTGACATAACTTTGGTATTTCTTCCCTATAAAAAAATTTTATCCAAAATATATTATAAAATTGTTCAAAAATTGTTTATTTATATGCTCAGATTTTTTGTTCTAAAAAATGTTCAAAAAAATGTTCGAACTGGTTGATTTTCAAACATTTATTTTATTATGCAAATTTATTATATTCAATTGTTATAATAATAATACCTATTTTGTCTGTTTAATATAATTCTAAATCTGCCCAAATTATTTATCTAATTCTTTAAAATTTATCAGTTATACTCTGATATGCTCAAATTAATTATCCAAAATTTATAATTTAATTCAGCCCAAATTTATGCTAATTCAACCAAATTCACGCTCTAATTCGGCCCAAATTAACGTTCTATTTTGGCTAAAATAATTAATCAAAAATTTAATTTGGCCAAATTTATATTCTAATTCAGCCCAAATTCACTTTATACTATGATACAACTTGGATAAGAAAATTATGCGCCACATTAATACTCTAAATCTACCCAAATTTTTATTCTAATTCACTAAATTTGAACTCTGATTCGTCCTAAATTCATGGCCAAAATTAATTCACTCTATAATTTAGCCCAATTTATGCTTAATTCAGCCAATTTTTGCTGCTTTATATAACTATCTAAATCTGCCCAAATTTTTTTATTTTAATTCTGTTCAAATTTATACTCCGATTCGGCTCACATTAATTTATAATTTAACTCAGCCAAACTTTATGCTATTTCAGCTAAATCCACACTCTAATTCGACCCAAATTTATGCTTGAATTCTTTAATTCAACTTAGCTGTTAGATTAATATCTAAATCTGCCCAAATTTTTTATTCTACTGTTATTCAGCTCAAATTTACACTCTGAATCGACCGAATTCATACTCTAATATGGCCCAAATTAAATTTAATTCGTTAAATTTATTCTCTAATTCAGCCATTTAAAGTTTTTAAAACAACGGCGTCTGATGTTGAAAATTGTCTCAACTAAAAATATCGCTTCTGATTGGTTAAGTTAAGAAATAAACCAAAATATACTTCAAATTTATATTAATTCAGCTCAAGTTCACACCCAAATTTACGATCTAAATTAATTAATGCAACTATTTCTTAAATAAACTATTTTATTCATTTGCATTAGTTTTGAGTAAAAAATTTTCCTTACATAAGTTTCATTTCGAAAAGTATAAAACAAGATTTTATAGATAATATATAAAATCTTCAAAGTTTAAATATCATCGCGAGCTCCGGGACAACGCAAATAATTGATAAAAGAAAACTATTTAGAAAATTATTTTTGATGACAGCATGCCATCTGAGTTAAGCGTAAATACTGTCTTTTGTAAATAAAGATAGTGATAGCAGATAAACCCTCAATTTTACTTGGATCTAAAAAAGTTACTGAGGTTTTCTTAGTAAGAATCAATTTTTGCAACATGACTAATTTAAGCCTAATATTTTATCAAATAATTTATTGTATTTAAAAAAAAAAATTAAATTACATTATTTTAATAAATTTCTACTTCATAATACAGTTTCAATACTTTCTTTTATAATTCATTAATAAAATATGAAATTATCATATCAACATCATATCTATGCGCTATAAACTCTATTATACATGGGTGCCTAAATTCAGGATGATTGGCATAACAGCATTTTTTATATTTTCAGCATGCTGCTTCAAAATGCCTAAATGCCTAAATAATTTTAGCTGCCTAAATTATTTTTGGCTGCCGAAATTATTTTCGGTTGCCGTAATTGTTTTTGGTTGCCATAATTATTTTCGGCTGCCAAAATTATTTGGTTGTCAAAAATATGAATTCATAATTTATTACAGCTACAGTTGTACCACTAAGTTCACCTTATCGAGACCATGGTAAAAAAAAAAAAAGATAAAAACATGTGCAATTAAAAAGGTATATATATAGATAAAGAAATATTTAGAGCTTTTATAAGCAGAGATCAAATTATACCATGCACTTAGGGAGGTTCACATAGTCGACTTTCTTCATATCGAACTTTTTTATAAACAAAATTTATAATAGAGTCGGTATAGAACATAGAAAATTACTTCTACAATGAACTTTTAAAATTTTTACTATAAGGACTGTCAGTTCATTTGCTATTTATACAGTATTTCAACAAAAAATAAAAGTGATCTCCTATACAGAAATACAAGAAAACACGATCACTATAATGAAGTCCTCAGGTTAGGAAAAAATCCATACTATAACTTATATCAAGAAAATACTAAACATATTTTACTAGATACGATGGAAATTTAATAATTTCGCAATTCAAAACTCTTCATTATATCAAAAGTTTACTGTAAAGAAGTAAGCTGTATTTTGACTGACTGATTTATTTCGTTATCTAGCCTGTGAATATATTTTAGAACTCTATAATATTTTATAGTCTCGTTTGAATTATTTATCTGCGCTAATTTGGTTCATGAATACAGATTTTGTTTATAAATCCAATTAAAGTCAAAGCTTATGATAACGAACTTCTTTATAATGAACCCTGGACATAATGAACATGAAAATTTAAAATTTATGAGTTTGGAAAGTGTAGATTTTTTTTTTTGTATAGCCGACGATTTGATATTATTTATACAAAGTAATTCAAATTTTACAATTCATTTTATTGAAAGAATTTTGAAATAAATTTTCGAAAATGTTATGACTTTTAAATTTGCTACTTTCATTATTGCACAAATTAAAAAAAACGAATGTAACAGAAACTTATTGAGATTAATTACCTTACAAAAAACTACTGAACCCGTTAAAAAAAAAACCAGTAAATTATATAGTATATTATTTTTTTGTAAATGAATATATAGTATATTAACTAATGAATTTAGAAGCAAAGACAATCATTCTAATTAAATCTCCATTATCAAAAATGAAAAAACTCTAATTGCAAGTGAATTCATTAATATTGAAAGACGAGGAAGACTTTTAAGAATTGAGCATGAAAAGCATGTGAGTCAAAAGAATAAAATAATAAGTTGGAAAAAAGAAAGTATTTTGTGAGAGAAACTTTAAAAACTTTGATATAATTTAATATGCACTTTGCAAAATAGTTACATCGATATATTATAATATAATGTTATTGTTTTAATTAATATCAAAAATTCGAATGTAAGGCGTGTACGTACGTATAAATTAACTACGCCTTTAAAGTAAAACCTTTTTTATTAATATTTTATCGTTATCTATATACATAATAAATTATTTAAAATTATATAATTTACCGGTCACAATCCTAAAAAATTAGTGAGTCCGGTAAGCAATAAACTTGAATTCTCGATAACCTTTGTGGTAATTTTAAATTGCTTCTTAACGTATCGTACTGTACTGTTGTTTATAATTTTTATTCAATACAGTACATTATCCGGCAAACTCTTATGATCATGAATTGCCATCTGTCTTATTATTTTTTTCATGTGTTATGATGTAATCATGTTTATTCAAATTAAAACTCAGTCGATGACTCCCTACCAATCATGA